CTGTTTTTTTTTTTTTTTGTTTTTTCGCTTCGAAGAAAAACGGAAAACGGCCGGCGTGCGAGATATTGGATACGTTCGTCGTAGTCAAAGAAGAGAGAAACAAGAGAAAAAAAAAAAGATCGACGATACGATAGAACGATCACGTCACGCCGTAGTCGTTCTCGTCTCGGCACCTTGCACTTTTGCACGGTGGTCCCAATTTGTGTTAAATCATCGCGATTTCGTACTCTGTTATTGCAAACGTTAGACATCGGTACACGCAGTTTCTCATCGTCTCGATTTACAACAACGCGCTATACCGCAATAACTTCGTCAGGGGACAGTCGAATGATGAAGCTTCGAACGAAGTCTCGAACGAAATCTTCCCTTTTTTTTTTTTTTTTTTTTTTTTTTTTTAGATAAAGGCAACTCGAGAAAAATTGCACGCAACCTTGCATAGACTTTGACGATACGAGTTACAATGGAAACAAAAAAAACAACAGTTTTAACAGTAAAGTCGGTCGCGAGCGATCTATCGCGAGTTTTCGCCTCTCCCCTTTCTTTTTTTTTTTTTTTTTACTTTTTTTTTTCCTCATTTTTCAATGGTCGCTGCTCTAGCAGTTTTTCGCTTCGTAAAAACCGCTGTTCAATTATTCGGCTTATAATTTCTTCTCGTCGTTCACTCAATCTCCCATTCACACCGTGAACCATTTCCCTTCTCCGCAACTAACTTCGTCTATTTTGATCTATCTACGCGTCTATCTACTTAAATCTGCGTATTCTATACAATCCTGTGAATAGGTATTTAAAAGTACGCGTACCACATAGACCTGTAACAGGTTCGATATGAGTTACTCGTTCAGATACGAGGGATTATTTTGTAAAATAGGTATATAATATAATTCTTCGAATAGGCGGTGATAAATATTAACGACGAAGTAACAATACAATATTGCTCGATTTCGTATTGTATAATATATAATATATAATATTTATGATAATATAACAACGTTTGTTCGCTCGCGAATAAAGATAATCT